TACAGCTGGAAAACCAATCTTTAGGCGAATCTGAGTCAGAAGAGGACGATTGTAGAGGCACTCTAGAGGATAATTCAGAAACGATTCGTATATAGCCCAAAGTCGACACCTGGTGGAAAAGTTCTTACCCGATTTCAGAAGAGGCCTTGAGTATTTTTTAGATAATAATGATTTTTTTGTTCTCTCTATATATAGCTAAAAAATGTATATCAATTTAGGACATGTAAATATTTGTTCACCTCTTACCAAACTTAGTGATGTTAAACAAATAAATTCGTCTGAAAAATTCAATATTTTTGGTATTTTTGGAATAACGGAAACTTGGTTGCATCCAAGGGTTGATGACAGAATAATACTGATTGATGAATATACACTGGTTTGTTGCGACCGTCTAAATAAACGCGATGGAGGAGTAGCCGTATATATTGAAAATAATATAGATTTTAATTTTTTGGCAGCAGAAAGTTTGGGTATATTTGGTTAGAACTTCAAATCAGCAAAGAAATGTTCTAGGTACGATATACAGGCCTCCCAATATTGATAGTTTAACTTTGTCAAATACATTGGTTGATGTACACACAAACTTGATTTGATATCTATTACTAACTCTTTCAGTTTGCAGCAAATCATTTCATAACCCACACACATTACTAATAATTCAATGACATCAATTGACTATCTATACACTAATTTTGAGTTAATTCGGCCGTTACTTGATGAAGATCCATAGTAATTTGATCTCCATAAACTTTATTTGAAAAATATATCACATATATAATATATCACGACCTGTTTCAAGACCTGTTTCAAGACCAGTAGCTAACACAGTAGCTTTATCAACAGTGATAAAGCTACTGTGTTAGCGAAACATGTGATATATTTTTCAAATAAAGTTTGTGGAGATCAAATCGTGAGTTGTAGTTTATGAAACTGATTTTGAGGTTCTGGATTCCAACGTTTCAGACACAAATTTGGTGAGAGATTTCTTAATTTATTGCATTTTCAAATCACCCAAAACGACTAATTTGCCCAGTACTATTGCTTTCCGTAATTCATCTAGTATAAATTCAAATAATTTTCGTATGGATCTTGAAGCTATTCAACGGGACAACATTTATGATATAAACCATATTGATGCAAGAATTGATTTTCTTTGTTTAGTAGATGTCTATGCACCACCTACAACGAAATATTTCAGGTCTAAAAACAAAAAAAAAAAACATGGATAACGAGAAATATTAAAATTATACATAATTTGGGAAATAAAGCATTGAATAAATGTAAAAAACAAAATCACTTGCCCACTGGGAATACTATAAGCAACTCAGAAGTTTTACTTAATCTGGAATTGTAAGAGAGGAGAAAAACCCATTTACCATTCAAATTATGCGATTGTAATACCAAAGAAATATAGTGTTCTCAAAAAACTGTGTATAAAAAATAAAACTGAAAAGACTTACAAATATCATTAAAGAACATCAATGAATTTAACAAGTTTTTAGCAAATCAGTCCCAAGATGATCGAATACGTCCTATATAGTAACATTTTTGAATACTATTCTGACAATACAATACAATACTACACTAGACTATACAACACTACAGAGGAAGAAGTCTTGACAATTTTGCACAAAATAAAATCAAAGGGTTACGGATATGACAATTTGAATATACAACTAATTTTTCTCTGTTGCCCTTATATTGTATTTTCCACAAAGTTGGAAACAGGCTTCGGAAGGTCTATGCTTCATTGAAGTTGGTATATCAGCAGAGATTGTTGTTGGAAGCGAAGAAAATGTTAAGGTCGAATCCAAAAAGTCAAAAATTGTTGTCTTCGAATAATGTATCACATTAGGAGAATATATGTATATCAGTGCGTGTCTCAATTCTGCAGGATATGGAATATAAAAATTTTGTTTCGCGATTGGTTCTTTTTTTTCATTTTGTTGGAATGTTTATTTGCTATGTGTAGGGGTAATAGGGGTAGTTTTATTATGAAGTGTGGTTGAATTGTTAGGATATCTTTGAAGGTAAAGAACTGTGTGGTAGATTTGGCTGAGATTGTTGATATCTGTTCTATTGTTTATAGTGTTTGGTGATTTTTTAATATATATGATTTCTTTTATAGTTCTTTTATCATGGTTGTGTTCATACGCTAAAAACTTTGGTGCCATTAAAATTTAAGTTGTGGTTGTCAGTAACAATATGCTTGTTTAGAGCAGTATTAGAATTTTTCATGTTTGTGTCCATTTAGTCGGTTATTTAATAATTGTTACGTCATCCCAATGTAAACTTTATCGCAGTTAAAACATGGAATACTATAAATCAAGTTGGATTGTTTCATTACAGGAACATTGGTTTTTAGTGACGTGAAAAGTTTTATTGATAGGTTAAAAGATTTGTAACATGTTTGTATGTTTTGTTTTTTAAGGATATTGACTATATTTTCTGATAAGCCAGGAACGTATGGTAGGGCGGTATGGCCAATTTCAATTGTAAACTTTTGGAGTATCGATGAGTTGTCATTACTGATTCTGAAACTCACTAAATTATTAGCTTCAGTTATATTATTGATTGTATTGCATCCATACAATCCCAAAAGTCCTAATCCATAACGGCTGTTCCTATCCAATTTAACTGGTGGAAAAAATCCGCACTCAAGACACTTGTCCCGACAGCTTGTAAGCTCGAACTTTTGTGACATGACTGATGAATAATTTGAAACACATTTCAATTTATTGTTGTGCATAGCAACAGCACATTTAAGACAATTTACACTTTTTGGAAGGTGTTGTATTGGTTGTTCGGTTGAAATTTGCTACAGATATTTGAAGGAATAAGGGCTCATCCAGCCCCAACTCACTGGACACCACAGTCAACAATATTGGAAAAAAAACACTTCACTGACTTGCAGTTTTTAATTTTTTTAGATTAATCAACTAAAAATTGAATCCACTTTGCATATCATGAAAATTTGCTTTGGAGACCAGCTGACATTAATAGTGTTGTCATATCAGTAAAAGTCAGAGCTGTCAATTAGCACTGATTCCGTCATAAATGATCTTACTAACGCTGAAATGGCTTTATAAATAACGTTTTCTTAACTTCAAAGTTCTGTATCTCAAAAACGAAGCAACTCCGCACATGTTCATAGGAAATGAATCCTAATGAATCACCCTCTGAAATTTCGTACCGTAGTTAGGTAACACTCTGCATGAAAACATACATATTTTTTCTCAAAACGTCAAAAATTTTGACTTTAAACTTTGAAGTTGACGTTGTAAGGTGACACTGTAGCCACCTCCAAACATATACAAAGGGTTACGGGAGATATGAAGTTGAAAAATAGAGGTGTCATTTACACATTGAAGAAAACTACTATTTTGAATAATAAAATCAAATTTAATCAAAACACTTTTCCACGAACTTTTCAGCTCTACTGTTACATATGTCAATACACACGAATATTTTTTTGTTTTAATAATTAATTTCTAATTCACTAAGAGAGTATGTATATCACGCCTACAATTTTAATTTTTTATTTTTTTCAATGAATAGAGTATCTCAAAGATTTCTGGGTGCACTTCCTCATCCTATTATACCATACATCAGTCTAGATTCTACTAATAATTTTGGTCTAGAAACTTCGAAAGACATTTAAATATTTAAATGATATTCCTCAGGGTATTACAAAGATTCCGAATGTGTGTATTCCATCTTAGGTGTTTATCAACAGTTACTTTTAAGTATTTTATTTAATATTTTTCATTAATTTGAGAGTTTGCATCAATTTTCAGGACTGTTGAGTATTTCCATAACAAGAAAAAGGTAAGTAAAATGTTTTTAAAAATAAATAGCAAGAGCTTCGTTCTGAATCCACTTTTTTATTGCCCCCGTATCATCATGTCGTCATCATGTCTCGTAGTTTTCTCTCTCTCTCTCTCTCATATCAGTGGACGCTGCTTCCCATTCAGGAGCTGCCACCCATTGTATGTCGATCTTTTCTATCATTAAAAAAATTGATTTTTTATCAAGTCGCCTTCTGCTCGGGAGGCCTTTCAATATAGCAGTCCCATATACAGTCCCCTTTACGTCGTTATCCGAACCAGCCTGGCCTGGATACCGTCCTGAATAACACAACACAAAGACTCACGATAGCACATGGCATCCGCAGACTTTCTTTGTGCACAGACGTTATCAGTACGTCCATCCACTAACACGCTCACCACGGAACTCCGTCTCGTAGTTTTTGCAGCTGTCAGATTCAAATATTATAGTGGTTTCATCCGCGAACCTTATCATATCTCCAGGAGCATATATGATTATTTTCTATTGATATACACAGTTAACAATATTGACCCCGAGAAAGTTACTGTTCTGGACTGTTACAATTATTAACTCACATTTACTGTCTACGATCCATCACATGAGTTTCTACTAATTGCCTTGTAATTCCTCTGAAGCCCAAATTCTCAGACGTTTAGTAATTGCGAGTGACTGCAGAATCTAAGAACACATAAATGTTTTTCTAGCCTTGGTCCAGTTTTTTTGTTATATGATACGTTAAATAAACTATGACATCCTGAATGGACTTATTTTGTTCAATTCCGTATTGTTTTTTATTTGTAAGATTATTTTTCATAATATAAGGTAATATTCTTGTTTCAAATGCTTCTTCGAATAATTTAGCAAGGTTGACTATAATGGAAGTTGGTCTAATGAATCCGCAATGAATAGGTATTTATTCACATTTTCCAAAGTTTGAAAATAAACGTGAACCAATAATTCTAATTGAAATGAAACATATGAATTTACTAAAACACATTATTCTTCCAAGTTTTCAAATAAGAAGTAGTTAAAATAATAATCTATTCTATTGACTGCATATGTTGAGTGAATTGAGATGGATACTGGATTCAAAAACCAAACCATTGAAGGAATTGATACAGTCGTATCCCCAGCTATATTTGATAGTAATAGATAAAAGTAATAGATAATAATTAAAAGTGTTTGAATAATTTATTCAGTCTTGAATATATACAGATTTTTTATGAATTATGCAGCAGAGGGCAGATGAGCACCTTGAGCCCTGAACCCATCTTTGTCGGCAATGTAGACTACTTCATAAAGGACACCGTCAGGCCCTGGGTAGCTGTATTTTCCTTGGACTACGCTGGATGGTTCATTAGTTCCTGCATCGACTAGTTCACCCCTTTCTTCTTTCACTAGACCATCACTAGTTTCCACACTACAAACATAATAAAATTGATTGCAGAATACTTTTTGAGATATAAGACAATGTTCAGTTTTAATGTGTTTTTTTTTTCAGTTTTCAGGCAGGATTAGCAAGAGTGGCTGAGTCAAGGAATAACGCAGGAAGTAAATAAACAAGACTTGGACAACGTTCATACTTACGAAAGTGAGGTTAAGATGAAGTTTGCAAAAAAGTAACAAAGAGAATCCTCATATTTGTATCTCAAGATCAAAATTGGTTGAAAAAATATAACCTAATGTACTATTTTTATGATAAAATGTAATGATTGCACAGATACTATGTAATTGACTTTCAGAAAGGGAACTCAACAGTTTGTCGGATATAATTGACGAGAAACATTAAATTTGACAGAAAGTTTTTGACAGAATTTCTTGTTCTGGCCATCACAGTGATGCCAACGAGATCTCACAGAACTATAAAATGATACATAAGAGAAAGTGAAGGTAAAGTGTTTCTTTTACGGATTCTTGATTGTTGTCAAATTAATTACCTTCATTTAAACAAAGGAGATAAGTATAAATCAGGCTTCGACTTTCAATATATGTCCTGAAATTGATACCATTCAAATTTTTAAAAATATGACACATTTCTAAGCAATTTCTTTCTTTACTGTTATTTTCTGATTCTAAAATTTGAATATTATCAGAAGAAAAGTTACAATCAATGGTGTGTTTACAAAGGTTGCAGGATGGTTTATTGCATAATATGTCACTCTTGTGTAAAGTAATTCTGTCTTTCAATTTTCTATTCGTTTGTCCAATTCAAATCTTCTCACAACTGACAAAAGAGATAGGAAATACCACATTAGATAAGTTGATAATGATGAAATATGTTACTGAAGCGTATTTTTTTTTTGATAGCTAATAATTGTCGATATTCAATACCATCCCAAAAATATATCTACAGACCAACGTTGAATTATAAAAAAAACACATTTTTTTAGCGTAGTTTCAGAACATATGCTAGAAATTACACGTAATAAGTTAAGACCTTGGTAATTCTCAGTTTTAGAAGTTTCAATTTTTGAAGGTTTCCGTTTTCATAGGATCTGATTAAAGAAAACCTTTTTTATTAATTCATTCGAACAGTTGGAAACAACCTTCTTTTCTCAAGAGTAACTTGTTACTTACGCAAAAGCATATGGTCCGACTCCAATGTTGTCACTATCATAACGAAGGATCACAGCATCTTTTGAAGGACCACCTGCTACCCTAACAGCTTTTTGGGGAGCAGCCGCCGCAACCGTGATGACGAAGAAGAAAAGAGCGACCTGTAAAAATGATCCTGAATTGAATCCTGATTATATTTTATGGTAAGAGTCATTGAGATTGATTATCTGTAGTACATTTCATTGGTTTCGAATTCACATTGATCAATCCGTTAAGTAATAATATTTCTAGAGCAAATATTTCCAAAGCTGAAGAATATTACTGAAGTTTTTTCACAACACCTCGGCACGTGTTTCGATCACCAAGTGATCATCTTCAAGAGGAAGATTAAACTCAATATTCAATCTTCAATCTTGANCAGTAATATTCATTACTAGACCAAAAGTTCCAAACATTGCATCACATTTCCAAAAGTGATTGCATTTTTCCACATCATGAGTGGAATAATACCTACTACATTAAAAAGGCTTTTATTTTTCATTCATTTTTGACCGAACATTTTGATAATGACATATTATAAATAGCTTTGAAATCCAAATTGATATCTCAAGGAACTAGTTATATTCTAGAAATGTTTATTTTGCGAAAAAGTTGGAGTTTTTTCCTTTATTTTATGAATGATTGAATAGTTTGTATTATAGCTTATATTGATACTAAAAAAACATATGTTTTTATTCAATTGATTTATTACATATTCAATTCAATTTCAGAAAACTCTTGAATTCGAGTGTGACATTACATAACAAAGTCACACATAATTAAGAGATTATTAGATAGATGCAAATTTTTCAATATTGTATCTGTATTACTAAACCTACTCACCACTTTCATTTTGTTATTGATGCTTCTTAGCTAACGATGTGAAGAAGAATATGTTTCTTTCAATTTATACGATTCATTATATCTGCAAATCTAGGTCCCCTCTTGATTTTGATATACAAAACAGGTGGATAGATGTATTTGAAACCTCCAAACTGGTTGGTGCATGGGTTGTAAAAATTCATGGATTGTTTCAAAAGAAAATTGTACATTTCAATATTATTTTGGTACGTCGTTGATTTAATAATTTTTTCCATCTCACCATCGATTCTTTCAAATGGCAACTTTGGCATTTCAATATTAACTTGTGAATATTATAATTTCTGAAATTCACATTATCGTTTGTTTCTTGTGAAAATAATCTCAATATACAGTATAGTAGATAAATCATTTGGTATCTAGCCTATGAAAAAATGGTAAAAACGTCAATTATAGTTTACAGGGATCACATTTCTACATAAAAATCAACCTCTTGTCATTCACTCCCTCCACATTACAAACCATAATATGTCACAAAACACAAATGAGACTAATAGTTAAACGTATTTCAATTCAGTTTTCAACCCTGGAACACTTTCCACATATCATAAAAAATAAAATACTGTTTCAGTTTACATTCAATTTCGAACTATAAACTGAAACAATACTGAAAAATTTACTTTATCAACTATTGAGTTCCATTTAATGGCTTCTGTTCTTTCCTCACATTCTGGAGACTATCAAATATTAGTAATATACAGAACCTGTCAATGTTTTCTCGTAAATCATCAAACGTATTTGGCTGCATCTCCTAGACTGTTGAAATGAATCGAGGGATCTGGTCCATCGACCCGGAAAGGAGGAATTTTCACACTGGTATTACGCAATGAGGAGAATCATCATCTTGTTGGAAAAAACTTGCCCATTCCGTAACACAGGATCTAACATAATGGTATTCTTTATAATAGGCATAACTTGATAATTGAGAAAATTGAACTATTCTTCACCATTAGGGTGTGCTTCCAAACGGAATGGTTATATAGTATGATTACTCAAAATTACTACCCAGATATTTAGTTTTTGGGGATATTGTTGAATTTGGCGTGTCACTTGAATGAAACCATCGGATATTTTGACGGTTCACTACATTCATATAAAAAATTACAGTCATCTGAGAAACATGTGGTGCAGACGAAAACTGGATTAGGGTTGTCACGTTTAGAGAGGTTTTTACAAAATTCAGTTCTTCTATCGAAATCATCTTCGTTCATTTTGTTAATTATTTTCAATTTGTAATAAGTGTAATTTCTGTCGATAAAGAATTCTGAAAAGGTTTGTACGACTCATTCCTAATGCTTAGTCGACATATTTTTCATGAAGGCAACGTGACCTGAAACTGCAACATTCGTTATTGACTACCTATTCCTGAAAGATCATGTTGTCTGGTATGAATGCTACAAGTTTTCATTAATTTATGTAACAATTTCAGTACATATTTTTGTTCAACGAGTACCTTTCCGTCATGATTCTCATTGAATATACGAACAGGTGCCCATGCAGATTTTCGATATTCGTACAAACTCACTATTTCAATTGGCTCTTAAACTGTAAACACCATTTTCATAAACAAACGTAATAAACGGAATTATTACCATCGTAAGTAAATATTTATGTCTTTTGTATATTTCTAATAGTGAAATTATGTGTTTGGAAATGAATAAAAAATCAGAAGAGTATTTTGCTTTTTTCAGACATTGCTTTCCGTTGTAATGTGAGAATGTTACATACTTAGATACAAAATTGAATGACCCTCCAATTACATATTTTTGACATGAGAATTGTTGTGGAAAGGGGATGGCTAACGAAGGGATTGATTTTTTAGTAGAAATGTGTCCCCCTAGCACCACCTACCAAGGTTGACAGGAGCTTCGTTGGGGATCGTAGCTGTCTTGCTCGAAGCAATGCTGCCACCCATTTAATATCGATTTTTTTATCATAAAAACAATTTGATTTTTTATCAAGTCGCCTTCTGCTCGGGAGGCCTTTCAATTTTTTCAGTCCCACATATAGTCCCCTTTACGTCGTTATCCGAACCAGCCTGGCCTGGATACCGGCGTGAATAACACAACACAAAGACTCACGAAAGCACATGGCATCCGCAGACCTTTTTTGTGCACAGACGTTATCAGTACGTCCATCATAGTCATCTTCATTTTCATTAGGTTGGATTTTTTTCCCTTACCCTTTCAACTGAGATTCGTCAGGAGGACGAATGGTTCATAACGTGAGGTGTTTTGGTGGAGACATAAAGGTCCATGACCTCTATTCCGCTCTGGCCTTGTGTACCCCTTCCTGACTAGGGAATTTGATGAACAAACTGTTCATTTTAACAGACGTCGTGGGGCCTTCACTCAACCGAGCGACGGGACCTTCTGAATCGAGTGGGGTCGTCTATAGTGTGCTTCCCTAACTAATGGGTTATCATGAGTTTCCACTGACTCGAAAACTCTGATTCCTCGACTGAATGGACTGCCGTATACTTAACAGTTTCAAATCTTTGCGGATGGCTTCATTCCGCACGAACCATGGAGCATTCACCAGCATCCTGAGAAGTTTTTTTTTGGCAACCTTTCCTAAATGGAGAGGTTTGACGGGGTGGTTTGTCCCCAAGCACCTGAAGCATACATGATGACAGGCTTGAACATCGTGTTTTTTTTCAAGTTTATTCAAGTATTGCATGTAGAAAAAAAATATTACAATTTTTTTCACAAAATGGGGTTAGATTTGCTCTCTGAGTAAAGGGCAAAGATTTACAAGATGAAAAAATAAGAAAGGTAATTGACTCTTATGTAAAGCATAACTTCAAAACACCTGTATATTTAACGTGTGCACGTATTTTTACCAAAATTCTGAAAGATATTCGACGATTTGTAGAGGACAGGGATAGCAGCAAATGGTGGGTGTATTCACTATCGTTGTATTTTATAGGAAGTTTCCTTGTTTTTCAAGATATAGTTCTTTATTTCAGTTTTAAAATTTCTTAGTTTGTCAATTTTTCTTAATGTACTGGTATTTCATTGTAAAATTTTAGACCGAAAAATAGAAATGTTCTCTGGGTTATAGCTTTTCTAAATGTATGTATAGTATAGTGTGTTGTATAGTAAAATCTTATTTTTAAGATTGAGTTTTGAATTTCTATTGACCAGAAGATAGAGTTCAGCTATCCTCATCTGCACTTTACTCTTGATATAATCAATGTGATTTGCCCAGGTGAGTCGGCGGTCTACCCAAAGACCTCGGTACTTTACTCACGTTTGCCATCCGATCTCCCCGCCTGAAATCGTGATCCTTGTGTCTGGAGAAATTTTACGGCTCCCCAAGTCTATCGCCTGAGTTTTTTCTGGATTCACTCGAATCTTCCAGTCAAGGTACCAGCGTTCGAGGTCGTCCAATGCGCGTTGCATGCAGACGACCGCCAACGCCCGACCCATGGCAGAAGCGAGGAGAGCCGTATCATCGGCATAAAGGAAAACATTCACGTGATCGAACCTCGGAATGTTGCTCACGTATAGGCTGTACAGAATTGGAGACAGCACATCTCCCTGAGGCATTCCAGCTTCGATTTCCCTTACGGAAGACAGGGTTCCTTCAACTCGGACCTGAAATGATGTGCCTTTCAGAAAGGACCTAATCCACCGGACCAGACCCCAGAACGAAATCGAGCATTTTGTGTAGCAGGCCTTCGTGCCAGACTCGGTCGAAGGCTTTCGAAATATCCAGGAGGACGAGATGGACTGTCTTCCTGCAGCTCGGTGGAGTGTGCCCTCCTGAAGCCGAATTGTTCGTCAGGCAGAACATTTCGGTCTTTAACTTCTTCTGTTAGCCTTTGCAGCACAACACGTTCAACCAACTTAGCAGTTGAGCAGAGCAGACTAATCGGACGATGATTCTGGAATCATGACAACTATAGCATGCTTCCATCTTCAAGGGAAGTATCTAAGAGTGAATTAGCTGTTGATAATGTCCAGCAGGTATCTGACGAAGTTCTCCGGAAGCTGCTTCAACAACCTGTTGTTGATTGAATCAATTCCCGGAGCCTTCTTGGGTTTGGAGGCCCTATTGTACCCCCTCAATTCTTTCTCCGAAGCTGGACGGATCACGTCGTCATTATTTTCCCTAAGGAAGCGCCGAGCTCGGTTTCCAGCCGGATATCATGGTCGATATCATCATCCGGATCCACGTCAAGTCGAAACTGACGCTCCATTGTGTCTGCTAAAGCCAACGCCTTCTCGGCGGAGAAGTA